GATAGATGATTTTTTTGGAAGTAGCTCACCAGGCTTTTCTTCCAAGGCACCTCTGGGCAGACTCAAACCTCCAACCTTTTGATTAGCAGCCGAACAGATTAGTTGTTTATACTGTCCAGGGACTCCAGTGAAGAATAACTGTATGTCCCAAATATTATAATATTTGTCAAATGCAATATTTGGGATATACTTATACTAAAAATTTATTCTCTACAGGCTGTCCCTGGGTTGTGAACTTCTGACTTACGTACAACCCGTAGTTATGAACCAATCCCCGTAAAACCTATTATGTTAAAAATCTGAGGTACATACAATCGTTTGTAGTAACAAACGGGCACTACTTTGCAATGTGCCTCAAAACATTGTAATTATTATTATTACTGTATTAGTATGTTAAAGATGTTTTAGTGTATCTGGAAGTGTTTCTTAAATGTATTTTATGCATAGAAAGGTAAACTATATACTACATACTAAGACAAACATTTGACTAACTGATGTTAGATACATACTGTACCTAACTGTTCCGACTTATGTACAAATTCGACTTAAAGACAGAATGAGGAATGGAACTCATTCGTAACCCGGGGACTGCCCGCATTTACCTGAAATTCTAATTTAACTGAGTGATCTGTATTTTACCTGAGAACCCTAATCCTACTATATTTTCAAACAAAGCCATGCATTCAAAATGCCTTAAAGGGAAAAAAAATTTTTTTTCGAGAACCTTGAAAGTATCGAGCATTAAATAAGAACTCTGTAGGTGCCTACACTTGTCATTACAATAATTCCAGTAATATAAATTACATAATTTATCATATGATATAGATTAGAGTCCCAGTGTCAGTTGAACTTTTGTAACTCATGTTTTCCCCTTACCTTATATTAAAATTTTAGTAATGTTTCATCCTCATTTCTGATCAATCTTCAGTTGGCAGTTACTCTGAATCGATCTTAACTTTCTATGTTCCCAGGTTCTTAAGTTAATGATCTATTCAGGAATTTTTAAGTAGAGCTGGGGACTCCATGGTGTGGGTCACTTTGTAAAACAAAGAGTCTTTTTTGGAATTCGAAGATTCTTGTGCACTTTGATTAATCACTCCTAATATACCAGTTTTAGAAGTCCGAATTCTATATAAGCATGGTTTTTTGAAACTGAGCACACCTATATTTATTTCCTCTTTTATAGCTTATTATTGAAAAATCACGAATAGCATAAGCAGCTCATGTTTTTCTTTATGTAAGTAGTTTATATGTCTTAAATCAAAGCGATTTAAAGGTTAAAAAAAAAACTTCAAAAGGAAATAATGAACTAAGAATGCTCTTCCAGTTCTTCTTGTTAGTAAGTTACTCCCAGGGAGCGTGAGCCCTTTGCCAAGGCCCAGGAGGAGGTGGGCACTGAGAGCCAGCATTTGAAGGCTGCAGGAGGCTAGTGAGGGAAAGTCAGTTTGGAGATGGTTATTCAGCTCTCAGGTGGAAGATGACTCTGCCATTCAGGGCATCACAGCTTTCTGTGTGATGTGGGCTGTTTCTTTCATAATGATGCCATTCTTATCTGAAGTCCAGGTCTGTCCTTGAAACATTAATGATGCTTTCCCCTTCTTGAAGTCCCAGGGTGATACAAACAGTTAACACACTCGGCTGCAAACCGAATGATTAGTGTTTGGAGTCCACCTAGAGGCACCTTGGAAGAAAGGCCTGGCAATCTACTTTTGAAAAATCAGCCATTGAAAACCCTGTGAAGCACAGTTGTACCCTGACACATATGGGGTCACCATGAATCGAAATCAACCTGACGGCAACTGGTCTGGTTCCTCGTGTTAAGGGGACCTCATTCATTCAACAAATATTTATGAGGGGTTCTTGTGGTCCAGGCCCTCTTCTAAGCACTTGCGATCCATCAGTGAACAAGCCAGACAAAGTTCTCTGCCTCCTGGAGCTGACATTCTATCAGAGGAGACAGACTACAATTAAGAAACATAACACATAATTAAATTATATAGTGTGTTAGGCATTTTGTGTGTAAGCATTACGGGGGAAAAGAGCAGGGCAAGGGGATCTGGATTCTGGGTTGGAGAGGGATTCCATTTTAAACAGGGAGGTCAGGGTAGGCTTTGCTGACGGTGACGTTTGAGCAAAGACTTGAAGGAACAGCATTGTAAGCAGAGGAAACAGCCAGTACAAAGGCCCTGAGTTTCTCACTGTGCTGGAGTTGTGGTTCTCAACCTGGGATGGTTTTGCACCCCCCTCCCCAGCCCCCATGGAACATTTGGGGATGTCTGGAGGAACTTTAATGTCTGATGACTGGGGTGGAGAGTGCTAATGGCATCTGGTGGAGAAACGCCAGGGATGCTGCCAAACATCATATGATGCACAGAGGAGCCCCCACAACAAAGAATAATCTAGCCCAAAATGTCAGTAATGCCAAGGTTGAAAAGTCCTGCATTTGGGGATTAGCAAGGAGGCTAGGGTAGTTGGAGGGGAGGAGTATGGAGGAGAGAAGTAGCAGATGAGGTCAGAGGCAAGGAGGACTGGGGAGTAGGGAGTGGCCAGGCCAGGTGGGCCTTTAGGCCAGTGTAGACTCTGGCTTTTATTCCAAGAGAATTGGGGAACTGTTGGAGGGGTTTGGGCAGAAGAGGAGCATGATCTGACTTAACATTTTAAGAGGATCCCTCTGGCTGCTAGGTGGGAAAGAGATTGAAGGGGGGCAAAGGCAGAAGGAGAGAGACCATTTAGGGGGCTGTTGCAGTTGTCCAGGCAAGAGATGATGAGGGTTTGGGCCAGGGCAGAAGCAGCTACCTGACTTTGAGCAGCAGAACCATCCAGTTCCAAGGTCAGATATCAGGCGGTGAGATCTTGGGGATTCCATGCAGTCCTCACTCTTTTCATTACTACGTATCATGCTGCCAGTTAAGTTACCTTAGCTAGGTTTTGTTTTATACAATAGGATATCTGGTGTCTGCTTTAACAATTAAATGGATTAGATTTATGACAAAACAACTTGACATGGGTTAGGCACAATATAATCCTTTTGTGTGTTAAGATCGTCTTGGCGAAAAAACATTCACTCTTGCTGACAATTCTTTTGAGTAAAATTAATTGAGCTATATTTTTCTAAGCCACATGTAACCCTAAATAGACTAAATTACCTGAAAATGGGGTGTGAGGAATGTCAAAGATCTAGTACCTAACACATAGGAAAAAGTTGCTTTCCTTTTTATAAATTTATTATATTGTTCAAATAGTTATTTTTCTCTTACATGATCAGCCAGAACAAATACTGAGACACTGCTGAAAACACCAAGAAATTGCTAATTCATATTTCTTATCCAAAGGTCTCACTCCCTCCCCCTCCCCGCCATGTAATCACGCTAAAGTCCACATCTTCTGTCTTACTAACAACTAAAGAAGCAGCAGGGACAATGGGAGTCCTAGGGACAGCCTGGAGTCCCTGCTGGTACAATGGTTAAGCACTCAGCTGCTAACTGAAAGGTAGGTGGTTCAAACCCACCAGCAGCTCCACAGGAGAAAGGACCTGGCAATCTGCTTCCATAATGGAAGCCTTACCGGGCAGTTCTGTTCTGTCATATACGGTTGTTATGAGTTGAAATTAACTCGATGGCACGCTACAACAACAGTGACAGCCCAGAGTCCCTAGATGGTGCAGATAGTTAACACACTCAGCTGCTAATCAAAAGGTTGGAGGTTTGGATCCACCCAGGGGCACCTCAGAAGAAAGGCCTGGCAATCTACTTTCAAAAAATCAGCCATTGGAAACCCTGTGGAGCACAGTTGTACTCTGGCACACATAGGGTGGGCATGAGTCAGAGCTGACTGAAGGCAACTGGTTACTGTTACCGACAGCCTGAGGTCAGGGCTGGATCTATCCACAAACAGCATCTCATTTCCATTCATTACCATGAATCATTTAAATATCATAGTACAGTATCACCCGGCTATTTTTTTTCAAGTCATGCTATTCTAAGGAGGTGGTAAATTAGTATCTTTGTTAGTGAAAACTTGACTTTGTTTTAGTCCCTTAATGTTTTTAAGGAAGTTTTAAATGCAGTTGATTTGTTCTCTCAAAATGGTTCTCAACCCACTCAGCCATGCAGAGGTGTTGAGTCGGCTGTCATGGTAACCCCTACAGTGGCACTTGATATTCATAATAAAGTAGTATGTTGAAAGACCTCCCAGATCCAAGATAATCCTTTTATGACCCTCTGAGACAGTGCTTGTCAATGTTTGGTCCATGGACCACCTACGTCAGAATTCCTCAAGGGCTTATTAAAAATACAGATCCCTTGGCCCCCTTCCAGACCACGTGACTCAGGATGTCTGGGGTGAAGCCAGGATCTGCATTTCAGGGAACATCCCAGAGCATTCTCATGCCCACTCACATTTGAGAACCACTACTCAAGATTATGGTACTAAGCAGGAACAATGGACTTAGGGGAACAACATCTCTTTTTCCAGGGGCCATCGAGTCGACCCCAGCTCATGGCGACCCCCCACGAGTCAGAGTAGAACTGTGCTCCATAAGGTTTCCAAAGGCTGATTTTTTGGAAGTAGATCGCCAGGCCTTTCTTCTGAGGTGCCTCTGGGTGGATTCACACCTCCCACCTTTTAGTTAGCAGCCAAGCATGTTAACCATTTGCACCACCCAGGATCTCCAACATCTTTCTAGGCTTGTTTAAAAATGACAGATGCTATTCTGATGAAAAAAATACACTTCTAAGGATTTGTTTCCTACCAGGAAGTGTGTCATCCACCGTGTTAGCCGCCTCTTTCAACTAAATAATCCTTCTTCTTTGAAATCTCAGAAGGTGCATTTTAGCCTCTGTTCTTGGGGGATTACAGTGGTCACTTAGCTCAACTGGCCAATAGTTTTGCTGTGGGTCTAATTCTGGCTAACTTTGGGGGAGGCACTTTGATCTGGAAAACTGCTTGAAATGATCGTTGTTATGGTCTTGTGTGACATTTTCTCTTTTCTTGTTGAACAGCAAATATGCCAGAGGATTATCCTGATCAGTTTGATGATGTCATGGATTTTATTCAAGCCACCATTAAAAGACTGAAAAGGTCACCAGATAAACAAATGGCAGTGTTTCCTAGAAGAGAGCGGAATCGACAAGCTGCAGCTGCTAACCTGGAGAATTCCAGAGGGAAAGGCCGGAGAGGCCAGAGGGGCAGAAATCGGGGTTGTGTCTTAACTTCAGTACATTTAAATGTCACTGACTTGGGCTTGGGCTACGAAACCAAGGAGGAACTGATTTTTAGGTACTGCAGCGGCTCTTGCGATGCGGCTGAGAATATGTACGACAAAATATTAAAAAACTTATCCAAAAGTAGAAGGCTGGTGAGTGACAAAGTGGGGCAGGCATGTTGCAGACCCATCGCCTTTGACGATGACCTGTCATTTTTAGATGATAACCTGGTTTACCATATTCTAAGAAAGCATTCCGCTAAAAGGTGTGGATGTATCTGACTCCGGCTCCAGAGACTGCTGTGTATTGCATTCCTGCTACAGTACAAAGTAAGGGACCAAGGTTCCCAGGAAGTGTTTGCCCAGATTGGAAGATGAGGACCAAGGAGGCGGAAGCGGAGGCTGAGGAGGAGGAGGAGGAGGAAGGCAGCCATTGTGGGAGCCTGGTAGAAGGAGATCCAGCTTCAGAAAACTGGACAGGAGACAGAGAAAGCGGCCGTCTGGTTCCTGCAGGACGGCAGCCAATGTCATCAGAAGCTCAGGGCTGGCGTCCCTGGTTGGGTGTTGCCATCATTTCATCTGATACAGTCCACCGTCACCAATCACTGGCACAGTGGCGGATGCACTTGAAGAAACCAAACCAGTGTGTCTCCTGTGGTTCGTTTTCACATGTTCGAAGACACCAGGGAAACAGGAATCCTGGGGTGAGCCCACTTGTCATGACGTGTTACTGCTGAAAGCCAGAAAGGGTTCTTTTCTGTCACTCAGTTGAGACATACCCCGAAAAGAAAACAACAAAAAACAAAGACACAAGAGATAATAACCTTTGAATTTGAAAGTTGAGGCCTGAGGTTTACGACAACCAGCGTTTTTGTGAACAGTTGACGATTGATTCAGAACATGGTGTGTGGGGTGGGAAGAAGTTGGATAGGCACCAACGAGGCTGTCCTCATGACTAAAACAAACCTGAAGGTATTTCCTTTCTCTCCTTGGAAACAGGAAACAAGTTGTGGCTTTCGGCAGCATTCTTGTAGGAGAGCAAGTGGGGAGGGCCCCCTCTGCAGGGGGACAGGGAGACCCACATGGCCTGTCGGTTTACAGAAAGACAGATGTTACATACACCCCAGCTCCGTTTATGCGTGGTCACCAGTGACCAGAGAAGCTACTCGATGCAATGCATCTGTTTCAGATACAGAAATATAGAGAAGCTATTTATTGAGATTTAAGTTATTATTATTTATTACTGTTCACTAATGAATTTCTCTCTTTTTCCCTTATTTATTAAAGTTTCTTTTCAAAGGTGCCAAAGTATATGTGCTTGCAAAACACAAAGAAAGGTGACAAAGGAAATTTTAATTGGGAACAAGGGTCCATGCTTTTCAAAGTATTAAAAAAAAAAGTCTTTTTGCTAGCCAAAAATCACTTACTTTACCTTTTTAAGAAAAGCCCTGGTTAATTTCCCCAGATTTCAGCATTTTCCATTTTTTTATTTAAAAAAAAAAAGTCAGAAGGAATGTCTCTGCCAGGCCACCTTTCTGGGGGCAGCATGCAGAGACCGTTGGCACTTGGCTTTATTTCTTCGTTGCTCCATCACTGAACAAATTATGCCATAAGCTCCACTTCCTGTCATATTTAAGCTTTTATTCCCCTCCTTATATATCTATCTATAATATGCGTAACCATATATGTAAAGGTTAAATTCCTTTTAGTAGGTAGTTTGGATTTAATGTTGACCCAAAAGTAAAGTAAAACATTCTGTCAGGTAGCCATGGTTTTGCCTGACTTGTTGAGCCTCTTCCTCCATCCCTGCCTACCCACTGCCTTCAGGAGACACAGTCTGTTTGGCCAGTGCAGGCCAAGGATCACTCAATCCAGAAGTGAGGTCAGCCTGGTTCCCGTAAGAGCCACTTGGCTGTCATCTTGGCTCAATGGTTGTTGCTTCTGTATACCCGAACCCTGGAAGAAGGTGGCTGAGCAGGGTGGATAAGGAAGACATCTGGCCTAGCCACGGTATACGCCTATACGCGCAAAGCCTCACACTCACCCGTAGAGTGCACTACCTTGACGATGAAAGAGTTTGGAGGGGAGGAAGCGTAGGATGGGAACAACCCTCGTAAGTGCCCCAAATTGTGGATTTTTCTGGCAGCCAACACAGGCGGGATGCACTGGGCCCTGTATTAGAGCTTTTTACAAATATCATAAAAGGGATTTTTATTAAGAAGATACCCTATCATTATCTTAGTGGCTATTAACCACAAAAGGATGACAGATTTTACGAATAAATGACCTCCTGGCTTCCCACAAGTAATCATGTTATTTTTACTAAGTAACCAAAAAGCAGCAGTTACCAGACATCCCCTCCCCTGCCCCAAAAGACCTAAGCTCTCCATCATTCTGCTATCTCTGTCCTTCCTGCTCCTTTTACATGACTCGGAAATAGAGGAAACGGCCTCCCTCTCACCCTCTCCTGGGGCCAAAGCAGGGTACTTGCTGAGAAGCAGCCTGCTCAAAGCAGGGTAAACCCAGCTGCCTTGTCATTCTTGAGGCACAATTTGGACGTAGCCCCAGGGTCATCTGTCTGACTCAGATAACAGTGGCAGATTTGGTGGCCAAGGTTTCCAGGTTTCAGCCCCCAGCTCCCCAAGGAAGATCCCTGCCCATAAGGGCTATAGGATTCCAATGGGTGTTGACAACTTGTTCCCAGCATCATCTACACACCATAAGCAGGTTTTAACTTTTAAGCAAATTGCTCCACCAAATTCACAAAAGGGTAAAGTTTGTGATTTTTCTTTATCATTGCTACTACCATCCGATATGGTAAGGAGCGCACTTCTTTGGAAGTTCTGACTTCTCTGATCTGTCTCAGTCGTTTGTGTTATACAACCAAAGTTCTCTTCAGACTTTATTTTTGTACAATATCATTTTGTAACTTTTTACGAATAAAAACTCATTTCTATCACTGTCTGTACTTCTGTGCTACCTCATGTGCCTGTGGGCCACAGCTGGCCCTGGCCCGCCATCCACAAGTATCTATTTTCATCTGGGTCCTGGGTTAGAAGGCCATCCCCTTCACCACCATCCAGCCCACTGGTTGGGCAATTGCCTTGCCTATCAACTCTCCACAACCAATCACCATCCAGGCGGGGAAAAATTACAAAGTTGTTCTTCATTTATTTACAAATATTTAGAATGTACGTACTCTGTGTCAGGCACTACTAGTCGGACTGGGGATCCAACAGTGCCAAAACAAAATCTCTGCCCTCCTAGAGCTGATATTTTAATGTGGGGAAGACAAACAATATTCAAAGAAATATATAGTGTTCCAAACCAAAAAAAAAAAAAAAAAAAAAAACCCAAACCCACTGATGTCAAGTCAATTCCAACTCAGCGACCCTATAATACAGTGTTCTAGGTGGTGATAAAATGCTACGAAGAATACAAACAGGAAGCTATAGTAGAAAACAACAGGGCAGCCTGTTTTCACTGGAGGTGACATTTAGGCTAAACTTAAGACTAGACACAACCAGTTGCCATTGAGTTGATTCCAACTAATGGCGACCCCTGTGTTTCAGAGTAGAACTGCACTCCAAAGGGTTTTCAATGGCTGATTTTTCTAAAGTAGATCGCCAGGCCTTTCTTCCGAGCTGTCTCTGGGCGGACTCTAACTGCCAGCCTTTCAGTTAGCAGCCAAGCATGATACGCATTTGCATCACCCAGGGACTCCTAAAGACTGGAAGGTGCCAGCCAAATAAGGGGCACCCCCATCAGAGGAAGCACTTGTGCAAAGCTCCGAGGCAGGCATAAGTTCGGCCAGGGCCACCACTTTGCACAACTCTCGGTGACCCATTTACATTGCTTCTACATGGGATTGTGCAAACGGTGGCCCTGAGCTTGGTGTATTCTGGTGGTAAGAAAAACACACTGAAGAAAGGAGATGTGAGTGCCCTGGGTTGGGGAAGAGAGCATGCTTCCTCCTCAGATGACACACACCCCATATTATGCCACAAGCAATCTCATGACTAATTCCTCCATGTGAATTAAAGCCTAAAACAAAACCCAGGAGCTCTTATTACTCTTCGAAGTGGCCACTAGCCTAGGCTTTCCAATGGACAGCACTTAGTGCAGTGCTAGGCTTTGCCTGAAATGTCCTTCCTTTCCCAATGCACACTGTCCCCCACATCGAGACTCAGCAGAGTCTCTCGTACCAATTTGTGGTCTCAGGTGTTTAGAGTCCTTCTGCCGAGGCTGGCTGGAAGAGGCCGAGGGCAGTGATGAGTCCAGCTGCATTTTCTCTAAGCCATGATTCTGATATGGAAGAAATGACTCAGAGAGGAAACCCAAATATGGTAAACTCTGGCTTACCTCCACTCCCTTTTCAGAGCCATTTTCCCAAATATGTTCCCAGGTTTACTAACCTGCTGAGATGCTCCTCAGAAAGAAGAGGGGGTTGTCTTCTGGTGAAATGTTGTTGCAGTGGAGTTGGCCCCTGACTCATGGTGACCCCATGCACAATGGAACAAAACGCTGTCCAGTCCTGTGCCATTCCCATGATTGCACCATTGTGATTCATAGGGTTTTCATTGGCTGATTTTCAGAAGTAGATCACCAGGCCTAGTCTGTTTAGTCTGGAAGCTCCACTGAAACCTGTTTAGCATCATAGCAACACACAAGCCTCCACTGACAGATAGATGGTGGTTGTACTTGAGGTGCATTCAATGGGAATCGAATCCTGGACTCACACATAGAAGGTGAGAATTCTACCACTAACAACCTCTCTGGTGAAATAAATTTGGAAAACATTGAGTCAAATAACATCAGACAGTTTTTTAAAGTTAAAAGTGTAATTGTAGGACTTATCAGAGCCTTTACTAAAGAACTCTGTGGCAGTCCAACAAGGGCATAGTGGGCAGAATTCTCCAAATGGATTTGGCCATGAAACAATTTATTGCTTTGTTTTCTTTCTCATAACACTTGTTGACCTCCTCTTGAAAGTACTTTGGGGTGAGTTGCCTGCCCTGTAAGCATCGGGGTGAGCTAAGACCAGGACTTGTTGTTGTTAGATCCATAGGGTCCAACTCATAGGACCGTATGTACAACAGAACGATACAATGCCCAGTCCTGCACCATCCTCACAATCGTTATGCTTGAGCCCATCATTGCAGCTACTGTGTCAATATATTTTGTTGAGGGTCTTCGTCTTTTTCAATGACCCTCTACTTCCCAAGCATTATGTCCTTCAGGGACTGGTCCCTCCTGATAACATGTCCAAAGTACATGAGAGGAAGTCTCACCATCCTTGCTTCTAAGGAGCATCCTGGCTGTACTTCTTCCAAGACAGATTTGTTCACTCTTC